CCGAAGTGTCTGTCTCTGTCTCTCCCTCCACTCACTCTCTCTCTCTCTCCCTCTCTCTCTCTCTCTTTGTCTCTCTGTGTCTCTGTCTCTGTCTCTGACTCCCCTCCTCCCCCTCCTCCTCCCTCCTCCTTCCCTCCCTCCCCCCTCTCTCCTTCCTCCTGTTCCCACATACACAACAAAAGAATTTGTCCGAATTCTTCCCTTCCTCCCCCCAACCCCTTTCACTCTGCTTTCCATCCCATGGACGCCCTAAGAATGAATGAAGTGTTGGGTATAAAGCTTTAAAAAAAAGTGTCATGTAAAAGTATTTATATAAAGTATTTATTATGGTACTATTACTGACAATTGTATGGCCACCATATCCATTTAGTGTTTCCGAGGCTACTCAGGTCTGGTTCTCCCAGGAGGAAAACCTTTATCATTAAGTAAATATCCCAAATTAAAGGGTACTTTCCAAAAAGATTTGTAGGAACACAGGACTGGACAGGAGCTCCACTGGTGATCTAATCAATCAATGAATAGGTTAATTGTTCAGGGCCTGATTTGGGTTCACCGTTGAACTAGGGAAAATAAGATATACGAAGAAGTATAAGGCATAGTCCTTGCCTGCAGGAAGTTTAGGATTGAGTTGGAGAGATACAATTGACATCCACAAAATAATAACATCAGGTAATGATGAAAGACAATATTTGAGTAATACATGAATATAATGGAATATTATTGTGCTATAAGAAATGATACATGTAAAAAAAAGAAGTGATACATGTAATTAATACGGAGAAGTATGGAAAGATTCATATGAACTGATGCAGTATGTAAGCAGAGTCAAGAAAACAATTTGTACAATGACAACAATGTAAAGGAAAGAATAACAAGACAATCAAAAGTGAAGGCTGCAAAATTCCGAAGGATTTGCATGGCTCCTAAGAAGAGAGAGAAGGAGGCGCTTTGCTCTACCTTTGCAGAGGTGGGAGCCCCACAAGGGTGGGATATTGGATACTTTCCCTATTTATTGATTGATTTTGCTGATTTTTTTTCTTTTCTTCCTCTTTTTTCTTTTTTTCTTCCCTTTAAAAACATTATTTGCTGTATGAAATGGTTCCCTGGAAGGGAAGGTATAAAAAATAAGAGATATCTATAAAAGTTATTTTTTAAAAAATCAATGTATGATTAAATGCTAAATTGTGACACAAATGATAATTGCTGTTGAAGCTCTTATGGGGATATGATGAAGACTGATGTCTTTAGGGGAGGCTTCATGGAAGAGGAAAGATTATAGGCTCATAGGAGTTAGGGTTGGGAAAAAAAAACTTAAAAATCATCTAGACTAAACATCTCATTTTTAAAAAGAGGAAGCCGAGCCCTAGAGCAGTGATGTCACACACCCAGTGTCACTTGGGTGCTAAAGCAGAAATTCCTCTGAGTCCAAATCCAAATTGAGTTGGGTCTTGAAGGAGATGACATTTTCTATCTTCCCCATAATAGCACACAGTACTTACTAAACGGTTGTTTTGTGTTCTGGAAAGGAGGGCAGAGAATGATTTTTTTTAAAGTTTAATTTTAAATTGAATAAAATATTTGAACATTTGTTCTTATATCATATCCATTTCCCTACATATCATTCCTCCCTCCACCACAGAGAACCATCATTTAAAGCAAAGAGTAAAAATGAAAGAGAAAAAGAAACACGTCAACCAAGCCTGACAGGTTATGCAGTATTCCACACCCATAGTCTACCACCTATGCAAAAAAGAAAGGGAAGTACAGTCTCCTAGTTCTTCTTTAAATGAGCAGGTCAGATGACAGTGAATGAGGGTGAGAGTCTCTACAAGATAAAGAGGTAAAGTAGATGGTGATACAGTGGGTAGAATGCTGGGCCTAGAATAAGGAAGACTTGAGTTCAAATCCAGCCTCAGACACTCACTAGCTATGTGACTCTGGCCAAGTCATTTAACTTCTGTTTGCCTTAGTTTTCTCAACTATAAAATAGGGATAATAACAGAATCAACTTCCCTGGGTTGTTGTAAGGATCTAGGGACATAATATTTGTAAAGTACTTAGCACAGTGCCTGGCATGTAGTAAGCTATTATTACTATTATTTTTATTATTGTTGTTGTAAGACCCTGAGCAGAGTTGGTCATGCCCATCCCATCCAAGCTATGTGATCAGTCAAGCAGCCCAGATGGGTTCTGGGCACACTGGCTGAGGAAGGCTAGGGAAGGGGCAAAGAGTGCCTGGGTGGTAGCTGGTTTTCCCACTGCCAAGCAGTCCTGGATGGTTTCCAGGAAGCCGTAGGACCTGGAGGTGGGCATTATAATAACAGCATTTGGTTTCAATTTTATTGTTGTCCTTTCCAGTTATATGGTAGTAGTCATTGTGCATATTGTTTTCCTGGTTCTGATTAGTTCGCTTTGTCTTCTCTCATACAAGTCTTCAAAACCATCTTTGCTATTTTTCCCATTTATTTATGTAGTCCCCAAACTCACTTAGAAGGACTTAGCATTTCCTGGAGCCTAGGCAGAGGTCTTATGTGTATATGTGAAGATGGATGTTCCTCTGGGCCAAATAGAAGGACCTGCGAGAGAGAAACCTAGATGAACCATGTATACAAGTAGCCAAGTCTCTGAGGAGACAATGAAGTTTGGCTTGACCCAGAACCCAATAAGAATTATCATAGTAGGTGATGCTCATGTGTCCAGAAAAGCAGCCATGCTAGTCACCCACAGGAGTTTCCTTTTACTAATAAAGTTTTAATTATTAGTTAAACAAGTAAATCTTTTAGTTCCACTTTCCAGAGAAATTTCATAGGTGCTTCGATCCCTGCAATGAAATTTACTAACTAGCTATATGAACATAGGCAAGAGATTGAGTCTCTTCAGTTTTCTCATCTTTAAAATGGAAACAACAACAGCCCCTATGTCATGGGGTGGTTGTGAGGATCAAAATAAATTAATGTACATAAAGCATTTTGCAAAGCATAAAGCAATCTCAATATCAGTTGTTAGCTTCATTTTGCACACATTTGGTGAAATTCGCTTTACAAACGGAGAATAGCAGCCATCTGTCAACTAATAGTCTTGAACTATATTTACTTGTTATGAGAAAAGACTTTGAGGGGTGGAGAGATGATGGTAATGATACCCCAAAAATTGAAGAAAGGAGGAGGAAGAGAAAGAGAGAGGGAGAGAAGAGAGGGAGGTGAGGAGAAGGAGAAAGAGGAGAGGGGGAGGAGTAGGAAAAGCAGAAGAAGAAGAAGAAGAAAAGAAGAAGAAGAAGAAGAAGAAGAAGAAGAAGAAGAAGAAGAAGAAGAAGAAGAAGAAGAAGAAGATTGGAATGACAAAGTTTAAATATATACTTTAAAAAATTTACATAATAACCACAGTGTAATATACAGTCCTCTTTTTCTTTTTTTTTTATAAAAGATAATGTTTATGTCTTGTAGATGTTTTTTAAGTGCATAATTTTGAAAAAAGAAAATTTAATTTTTAAAAAACCTGGTAGTCTTAGAGTTGTCTGGGGGCACTGAAGGATTAAGGGATTTGCTCAGGGTCATAGAGCCAGTATTGTATCAGTATCAGAGGTAGTATTTAAAGCTTGAAGGTTTCTTTATTTTTTTAATATTTTATTTTTCCCCAATTACATGTAAAAACAATTTTTAACATCCATTGTTAAGTTTTGAGTTCCAAACTCTATCCCACCCTTCCTTCACTCTCCCATCCCTGAGACAGTAAACAATCTGATATAGGTTATACATGTGTAATCACCTAAAACATTTCCATATTAGCCATTTTGTGGGGAAAAAATAAAACTTCAGAGAGAGAGAGAGAGAAAATGAAAAATAGTATGCTTTGGTCTGTATTTAGATACCATCAGTTCTTCCTCTGGAGGCAGATAGCATTTTTCATCATGGGTTCTTTGGGATTGTCTTGGATCATTGTATTGCTGAGAATAGCTAAGTCATTCACAGTTGATCATACAATATTGCTGTTACTGTGTACAATGTTCTCCTGGTTCTGCTCACTTCATTCTCTATCAGTTCACTCAAGTCTTTCCAGGTTTTTCTGAAATCATCCTGCTCATAATTTCTTATAGCACAATAACATTCCATTACAGTCATATACTACAACTTGTTCAATCATTTCCCAATTAATGGGCATCCCATCAATTTCCAATTCTTAGCCACCAGAAAAAGAGCTGCTATAAACATTTTTGTACAAATAGGTTTTCCCCTTTCCCTTTTTTATCTCTTTGGGATATAGACCTAGTAGTAGTATTGCTGGATCAAAGTGCATGCACAATTTTATAGCCCTTTGGGCATAGTTCCAAATTGTTCTCCAAAATGGTTGGATCAGTTCACAACTCTACCAACAATGCATTAGTGTCCCAGTTTTCCCATATCCCCTCCAACATTTATCATTTTCCTTTTCTGTCATATTAGCCAATCCAATTGGTGTGAGGTGGTACCTCAGAGTTGGTTTAATTTGCATTTGTCTGATCAATAGTGATTTAGAGCATTTTTATATGACTTTGATAGCTTTGATTTCTTTGTTTAAAAACTGTCTGTTTATATCCTTTGACCATTTGTCAATTGGAGAATGACATAGTCTTATAAATTTGACTTAGTTCAAAGACTCATATTTGAGAAATGAGGCCTCTATCAAAGATACTTGCTGTAAAAAAAATTTCCTGTTTTCTTCTTTCCTTCTAATTTTGGTTGCATTGATTTTGTCTGTGCAAAAACTTTTAAATTTTATTTAATCAAAATTATCCATTTTACATTTCATAATGCTCTCTATATCTTGCTTGGTTCTAAATTCTTCCCTTTTCCATAGATCTGACAGGTAAACTATTCTATGCTCTCCTAATTTGCTTATGGTATCATTCTTTATGTCTAAATTATGTCCCCATTTTGATCTTATCTTGGTTACAGTGTAAGATGTTGGTCTATACCTAGTTTCTGCTATACCATTTTCTAGTTTTCCCGGCAGTTTTTGTCAAATAATGGAAACTCGATTTTCTCTTAAGCAAGGATGGCTTACTATAACAAGCTGCCTCTTTATTATTATTATTGGTTTTGTTGCTATTATATCTGGGTAAGCCAGAAATAAGCGGGCCCCCCCTTCCCTATTGTTTCACCACACCCGTCTCCTCCCACCCACCCCAACAATGCAGGATTTACCGAATTGTCTCTCTGTGTCTTACACTGAAGTTTCAGAAATAGAGTTCCCTGTTGCCTGCATTTGTCTTTTCCCCCAACACATGAAAATTGGAAACTGCTCAGGGTTGAGTTCTTTACTGTATCTACCCCATCTATGGTACTCAGTTCCTTTCCAGTGGCACAAATGGCTGGTCAGGCACACATGAGGCAAGCTAGTCTTTACAGTTTGGAAGCTAGAGCAGCAAGTGTTTGCCTGGAAGTGGGAAACTAGAGTCAGAATGGATCTGAAAAAAAAAAAAAAGAAATATGTTGTGAGATTTAAAGTGTATGAAGAATGTACTCAGGGAATATTTTAACCCACCCCAGCCAAAGCCTGATCTGTCACATTTCCACTGTTTGCCCCATCTCTTCCCCAGAGTTTTCATGGGAGGATGACAGAACTAAGTGGCCAGCTGGGTTACTCCTGGTGTGCCTGTTTCCCCAGTAATAGCCATGGGCTTCATGCCCTTTGCTGCATTTTCATTCTGAAGGTGATACAGTGAATCACCAAGGTGGGTGTGGGGGCTGGAGGGGCATCAATACTGGCTTTGTTCAACAATGCACCTCTGTTCAAAATTCCTATTCATTTAGTATGACTCACTCTGTCTTTTTAGAAAGCAGGCTTCCGCTCTTTTAGGTTTCTGAGCTCTAATGCCACAGACACTACAGTAAAATATGATAATAACAATGATAAAAAAGAAAGCATTGCTTTGCACCCTTCCCCCTTCCCCAAATTGGATTGGATTTTAGCATCTAAAGAGCTCATAGGGGTCCTGGTTCAGGCCCTTTTCACCTCTCACTTGGATTATTGCAGAAGCATTTAATTGGTCCTGCAGACCCCAGCCTCTTCCCTCTCCAGTCCATTTTCCACACAGCTGCCAAACTGAGATTCCTAAAGCACAGGTCTCACCACTTCACTCTCCTGCTTAAGAAGTATCGGTATCTCCCTATTAGTTCTAAGAAAATAAAAACTCCTCTGTTTGGCCTCTAAAACTCTTCCTAATCTGGCTCCAACATATCTTTCCAGACTGATTTCACACTACTCTCCTTCACGTTGCCTTTGTTCCAGTCAAATTGGCCTACTTGTGGTTCCCTATGCAGGATGGCCCATCTCCCACCTCCAGGCTTTTGCAAAAGTTGCCCTGCATGCCTGGAATGCTCTCTTTCCTCACTTCTATCTCTTGGGATTCCAAGCTCCCTTCAAGGTTCAGCTCAAGTGCCGACACCTATGAGAGGCCTTTCCTAATTTCCCCAAATCGTTAATGTAAGAAGACCTAGAAGCTCTTCCAACTCTTCATTTCCCTCCAGCTCTGCTGGAGCTTTCAACTCCATCATCCTCATTCCCCTCCCTAGGTACCCTCCACCTCCCCTTTTCCACTTCCTTTTGTATGGTGTCTCTCCCCACCCAGCCTCCAGTAGATTGTAAGTCCTTGAAGGTAAGGACTTTCTTTTTCTTATTTGTATCCCTAGTGCTTAGCACAATACCTGACAGGTAACAGGCACTTAATAAATGTCTGTTACATTACATCGTACTCTGCTGTGTTGTAGAGTTCCGGGTACCCAATACCCTACTACCAAATTACTTTGTATTTACTTATCTGTGTACATACGCTTTCTCTCTACTAAAATGTAGGCTCCTTGAAGTCAGGAATTTATTATTTATCATACATTATTATATATAATTGTATATTTTATTATGCACAGTATATTATCTATTTCTTATTTATTATATATAATTGTTTAGTTTTAATAATAGCTAACATTTACATAGCACAACAACCTTGGGAGGTATGGGCTATTCTCATCCCCATTTTACAGATGAGGAAACTGAGGCAAATAGAGGCTAAGTGTCTTGCCCAGGATCACACAGATGGTAAGTAGCTGAGGCTGGATTTGAATTCAGACCTTCCTGACTTCAGGTCTGGTATTCTATCCGCTGAGCCACCTAGCTGCCTTTACGTCCTCTATGCCTAGGACAGCACCAGTCAAATCAAGATAAGACGAGACAAGAGGCATGTAATTAAGTGCTATGTGCCAGCCACTGTGTGAAGTGAGCACCAGGGATAAAAGACAGTCCTTGGGTTACGGGAGGGGCTGGAGGAGGAAAGTGGTTCTTGATGGGGTACGATATTAAAGTTCAGAAAGTCAGGAGTAGCTAGGTGGCCCCGTGGATAGAGCACTGGCCCTGGAGTCAGGAGGACCTGAGTTCAAATCCAACCTCAGGCACATAACACCACTAGAGGTGTGACACTAGGCAAGTCACTTAATCCTAATTGCCTCACCAAAAAAAAAAAAAGTTCAGATAGAAGCAGAGCCAAGAAGAGAATACAGTTTGGCTGGCCTGGGCCCCTCACCAATGGGAGAAGACCAGGATGTCAAAGAGATGTTCAAGGGTAAGAAATCTCCAGGCACTGAAGGAAGAACCAGGATAAGTTGGCAACCAAAGTAGAATGGCAAAGTCTAGGACAGGGGTGGGGAACCTGTGGCCTTGAGGCCACACATGGCCCTCTAGGTCCTCAAGTCCGGCCCTTTGACTGAATCCAAACTTCACAGAACACAGATGTTCTAGAGGCCGCAGATTCCCCACCCCTGGTCTAGAAAGTCAAGCTGAGACAAGAGTGGAATGAAGGACCTCACAGCACATTTTTAAAGCTTCTAGCAAGTGCTTAATAAATACTCGTTGAATTGAATGGACTGGGCCTCTTTCTCAGGCAGGTCCAGACTTAATCCCACTAAGATAGATGGTTTTCCTGTATTAATGAGGCCTTTTTTCCCCTCTCAGGGTTTGTATGTGATAGGCAAAGAGGATTAGCTGATATAAGACGCTTAGAAAGCCTAGCCATCATTTCTAGTCAGGCTCTCAAACTTTTCCATCCCATGACCCGTTCAAGGGCTCCACCAGTCACTCCCTCTCTTGCCTCCTTACCAAGTGTCACATCCCTCCTTCACCCTCCCCCTCCCCAATCTACTTCCCAGTTAATCCCATAATCTCAATTATTACAAAATAGTCACTTGGAATTTCCAGATTCTTCTCAGGCTCGCAGTCAATGTCAAAATCTAAGAAGGAGAATGTGGAGAAGACTGGGTAGTTATTGAACATGTGGATTTTTAATATTACCTCACTATTAACTGGAGCGGGGTAACTCTGGTTGTCCTGATCCCTTCAAAGCTTTCTCACCATCTCCAGCTCCCCAGGCAGAGACGTACTGGCCCATCCATCCCTCTTGGCCTGGTAAAAAGGGCGGGCCACAAGCAACAGCAACCATTTTTTGCTGCCCCTATATTTTAGTCATTCCAATTATGTTGAAAAAATGACATCTCATTCTTTCTACTTAAGATCATCAAACATCAGCATCTGCTACCACACCGATGGTAAATGACTTCACTTGAAAAGTCTATAAGCCAAGACTAAAGTGGAAGGAGAGTCGGTACATGACTTTTTGTTCACAGTTGATTCTGCACTCAATGCAGCCTCTGAGGCTGAGATGCAACAGAGTATAGATTGATTCTCTGCCGCCTGTGTAATTTTGGCCTAACATTTAACACCAAGGAGACACACGTTCTCCACCAGCCAGCACCACACCATCCATACCTGGAACCACTGGTTACAGCAAATAGAGAACTTTTTAATCCTGTGGATAAGTTCACTTACCTTGGCAGTGTACTTTCCAGGGATGTCCACAACATTGCCAGAGCTAGCTCATTTGGGAGAGAAGAGGTATTAAACTGCCTACCAAACTGAAGGTCTACAGAGCTGTTGTGCTGACCTCATTTTTGTATGCCTGTGAAACCTGGACAGTATACCAGAGCCATGCCAGGAAACTGAATCACTTCCACTTGATCATCTTAGGAAGAGTCTGAAGATCACCTGGCAAGATGAGGTACCGGACACCAATGCCCTTTCTCGAGCTGAACAGCCAAGCATTCAAACTCTGCAGCAGAGAATGCAACTTTGATGGGTTGGCCAAGTTGTTCTACTGTCAAATGTATGTTTCCCTAAAGGACTATTTTGTGGGGAACTCACACAAGGTAAGTGCTCTCATGGAGGTCAGCAGAAGTGATACATCTTACCTAAGAACACTCTCAAGGTCTCTCTGAAGAACTTTGGAATCAATTGTGAGACACGGGAGCCCCAGGCACAGAACTGCCCAGCCTGGCATGCCTGCATCAAAGAAGGCGCAATGCTCTCTGAGCAAAGCAGAATTGCAGTAGCTCAACAGAAACATGAGATGGATGAGTTTAAAGATCTCCACTCCAAATGTTCCTATGGACCATTTGTGCCCGACCTGTGGTAGAGTCTTCCGAGCTCATATTGGTCTGAGCAGCCACAGCTGGACACGCTATACCTTGACCCCAACATGGTGACGCCACTTTGGTCCTCTTTGACACAAAAGACAGCAGCCAACCACCAAACCAACTATGTGCTCGCATTGTGCTAAGCACTTTACATTTGATGCTCGCAACAACTCTGGGAGGTTAGGTGCTATTATTACTCCCATTTTACAGGTGAGGAAACTGAGATAGACAAAAGTTAAGTGACTTGCCCAGGCGTCACACAGCTAATAAGTGTCTGAGGCTGGATTTAAACTCAGGCCTTGCTGACTCCAGGCCCAGCCCTTTATTTACTTGTGTGCGCTAGCTGCTGCTACTGCTTCCCCCTCTATAGATAAATCCCCCACAGAATCATTGGATTGTAGATCTAGTGCTGGAAGGGACCTTAGAGGATCTTTCATCCAATCCCTCCATCTACAAAAGCACCAGTAAGTATAAGTGACTTGCCGAAGGTCACACAGGCAATTTGACAGCAAAGCCATGATTTGAACCCAGCTCCTCTGATTCTAAATCTATCAGTCTTTCATTTTATCAGACTGCTTCCTACCTCGCCAAACACTTTTTTGGAAGGAGGGGGTGGGAGGAGGATCCAGGCACGCAGAGCTAATTCCCACTAGGGTACATGCTTCATCACCTCTGATCCAGCACCAGTGACATCTTGTCCAATCCCTGCCCTTTAGTGTTCTGGACCAAAATAGCAGCTCCTACCCAGGCCCCAGAGTAGATGATTGAATGAAAGCTGACAGACTGTAATCCCAGCTTAGCCGCACCACAGCACACAGACCAGCTGGGAATCACTCAGGAGCTAAAATTACTAGGGAGGATGCTTAGGTGTGAATTTAGGCTCAGGCTTGGGGTGGTTTGGTTTTACCTCTTCTCTTAGACTTCCTCGTCTCCTGGGCTTTCTTGGAAC